GAGAGAGAGAGAGAGAGAGAGAGAGAGAGAGAGAGAGAGAGCAAAACACTCAAGTGTATAAAATACATAAAGTGTAAGATTTAACCACTCACTTTAAGATGTTCATGCAACATCCAAACCATGCAAATGCAGAAGCTCAGTTCACACCTCCTGACGGCACTGCTGCCCCAAATGCAGAAGCTCGGTTCACACCTCCTGACGGCACGGCTGCCCACTCCTCTCAGGTTCTGCTGACTCTGGAAACACCCGGAGAACTTGGATTACTCTCTACTGTTTTAGCCTCTGTTGTCCAGAACCTTGCCGCATCTCAGACTTAGATCTCACCTCAGCCTCATCCTCATTTCCTTTTCCCCGACTTCTCTCATGAAAATGTTTGTCAGTGTTCTGGGATGTGGGGCTTTCTCCACAGCCTCCGATTTTAGCAGCAAACAAGTAGAACTTTGCTTATAGTGTAGATGAATCAAATATCTTCTGGGCTCCTGGATACACAGCCTCTAACATCCAACAGCCTGGGAGTCTGTGCCCTCACCCGGCAGTGTGAATGTCTTCTACAGAATGCACGGGACCAGCTCGTCTAGAAACACGTCAGGGCACCGGAGAGATGGCTCAGTGGTCAGGGCACCGGGGAGACGGCTCGGTGGTCAGGGCACCGGGGAGATGGCTCAGTGATCAACAGCACTGGAGAGATGGCTCGGTGGTCAGGGTACCAGAGAGATGCCTCGGTGGTCAGGAGCACTGGCTGCTCTTGCCCAGGACCCAAGTTCAGTTCCCAGCACCCGCACGGCAGCTCCTCTGGTACTGACTGCCCATGACGCACACACATACATGTGGGCAAAACACTCACACACGTGAAATAAAGTAATATAAAATATATCCAGCTCTTCAATTTAAGACGTGTATTTCTCCTTCCCAAATTGTACCGGGTGGCCCCTGCTGGCTTTATATAATGTCATTCCTGCCGCAGTGATAAGACACCCTGGCAGGAAGCAACTTAGGAGAAAGGGGTCTATTTCAATTCACAGTCCCAGTCACGTCTGTCACTGTGGGACAAGACAAGAGCTTGAAGTCGTCAGCCAAATCCACAGTCAAGAGCCAAGAGAAATTGTGTGCTCACTTGCTCAGCTTGCTTTTCCACATGTACACAATTTAGATCCAGTCCATGAAATGGTAACCCCCTCAGTCAGGGTGGTTCCTTTTAAAGTCTTCACAGGCCTTCCCGCAGGTCCCCACAGCCTTCCCGCAGGTCCAGACAGACAGACTCTGATCCTAGGTTCTAGATTGTAACTAGTTGACAGTTTTAAAGGTAACCATCACCCGGGACCTCTTGTATCTCAGATTGGGCTCAAATACGTATGTAGCTAAGGATCACCTTGATCTTCTGGTCCTCCTGCCTCATGCTGGGTTTACATGTGTGCACCCCCACGCCTGATTTATACAGTGCCGGGCATCAAACCAGGGCTGCACGTGTGCTAGGCAAGCCCTTCACCAAGAGAACCTCAGCCCTCGCTCTTGACTTTTCTTTTTTTTTTCTTTTTTTTCTCTCTCTCTCTTTTTTTAATTTATTAAAGATTTCTGTCTCTTCCCCACCTCCGCCTCCACTTTCCCTCCCCCTTCCCCAATCAAGTCCCCCCCTTCGTCATCCCAAAGAGCAATCAGGGTTCCCTGCCCTGTGGGAAGTCCAAGGACCACCCACCTCCATCCAGGTCTAGTAAGATGAGCATCCAGACTGCCTAGGCTCCCACAAAGCCAGTACGTGCAGTAGGATCAAAAACCCATTGCCCATGTTCTTGAGGTCTCAGTAGCCCTCATTGTCCGCTATGTTCAGTGAGACCTATTTTAACCCAGGCTTTTTCAGACCCAGGCCAGCTGGCCTTGGTGAGTTCCCGATAGAACATCCCCATTGTCTCAGTGT